TTCTATAAGTAAAAAGGCCACAAATTTCTCAAAAGATGGTTTTCCAATTTACTTACTAAGGGAGCAGGTCCTCTCACAACTCTTCCTTGGTCATTGTACTGAGATCCATGACAGGGGCAAATGAACTTTTTCTCAGCTGTATTCCATGGCACCACACATCCGAGATGAGTGCACACCGCGTTAATTGCGTATGTTGCAAGGGTTCTGTCTTTCTCCACCACAAGATAGGTAGGATCTCCCTGTTAATAAAAGGGGTAGGATTCAAATTATGGAAATGTGAAAATACTTATTTTGGTTGGAAAGTGAGAAGGCAATCATTTTCACTTCTACAAGGGCAAACCTTTGGTTTATGTAGTTAGATCTAGAGTTTAAATTTCCCTTTCACTGTCACTGGATAGAAGTGGCATAATGTAGCAAGATAAAAATTTGTTGAGGAAAGAAAAGAGGTCTAAAGAAGGATTGAGAAATGGCACTGAAGCAGTCCAGGGAAATTATTGCTTTCAATGTTAAATGTAAAACATCTGCAAGTTGTTGAAGATCTATGAAAACACTAACACTAAACAGCTGTAAACATACCTTCAATCCTTGTGTAAGAGTTCTGTCACCAGGTCCATGTGTCTTGAGCCAATTCTCTGCGATTACATCATTTCCAACGGCATCCTTGGCCACAGTACCTCCAGCTGAAGAACCTGAACTGTAATTTTTTGCAAGTTGGGGTTAATGGTACGTATAGATGAAGAAACTGGATTGAATAATGGAAACAACCGTAAGGTTAAGAGTTAATTATCAAACTGTTAGATGCTGGATGCAATAAGTAATTAACACATTATGATAGATTTCTTCCCCTTCTCAGCAACTTAATATACTCCCTTATGAATCAACTGGGAACTTAGGTGCAGAAATTTTAAACTCATGTGAAAAGAATGCAAAACTAAATAACTGAGGCAAAATTCCAAACAGTAAGAAATTATGAATTCAGTACTTCTCCCCCAATGTTAGGAATGTGCACATTTTTAACTTCCCTCGTACCCTCCCACTACAGAAATCATTACACTTATAATCACACCACTATAACGATGTAGGAATTAGGTTGAAGTAACAGTATTGAAGAAGAGGGTGAACATCTAGCAAAGCAGAAGCTAATTATTCAAGGTTTGACAGAATAGCTTCTCATGGATGTATCATCACACAAAAGGATCCCCAAAGCTGATCCAATTAGTATAAGAGAAACTATCTTTTTGAGAATTCATATTATTACTAGAGTAAACTCTCAACTTATTTCTGCAAAAGTTACACAAGGCACCACATTAGTCCTTTAATTTTGGTTACTAAATTAGTTCCTTAATGGTTTAAATTGTTTCCATGTTAGTTTTCAAAAAACTTGTCACAAAATTTGTCACTTACTAAATCTCAAATGTTACCATATTCATCCTTAAGGAATATTAGAGTGATAAGAGCAATGAAATTGATGTGTTAGTTCAGTAAAAATCGTCCAAGGATTAAGTCAATGAGATTTTGCATCTTTTATTAAGGACTAATTCGACAACAACTTTATGAAAAAAGCACATGCAAAGGCAAATATGTTTTTGATTCTTATGAATTTTCAAATTTACGGTTTTAGTCTCTTCTCGTCATCAATACAAGTCTTGAAGGTGAAAATTTCTGCCCATTTTACAAGGACAACAACCAGGAATCTGAAATTTCACAAGGACTAAAACCAGAAATCTGAAATTTCATAAGACCCAAAAAAGATGTAACTCCCAAATATAATTGTTGATGACAAATCAAAGGCACGCCATAGAACTGCAACAGTTAAGTTAAAAAACAAGAACAGAGATCCTAAACCTACATGATTAAATTCACACGCAATTGAACAAGTCAATAGTCATATAGGATCAATAATGCTAATTGCCACCTCCCCCAAAATAAAAAGTGAATTCATTTAACACTTACAGAACAGAAAGAGGGTTGAGTTGCAAGTTTAAGAAGAAGAAGAAGAAGAAGAAGAAGAAGAAGAAGAAGAAGAAGGGAGAGGGTGATGAAAAGAAAACCTACCCTGGAGGAACGAAGAAATAGGTGTAGGGAATAAGCATTCCAGCACTTGGGAGTGAAATAGCACCAAGAAGAAGGAGATTCAGGAGCTGCCTTTTGCCCATGTCAGGGACTCTATCAGCAGGAATGCTGGTGGCCTGGCAAGCAATTTTCATTCCCTTGCTCTTCCCCATCATCTGCCTCTTCATTGGTTTCACAAGAAGTGCCTGTGAGGGACAGAAAATCCCACTCTTTCCGGAGCATAGCTGAAATCACAACGCATGTAGTCCCTTGTTAACTCAAAAGCACCGTGATAATGCTGCACATTATAGAGAATATGTTAAAAATGAACATTTTTGTTGTTTTTGATACCTGAGAAGGGGTTGTAGGAGATAGAGTGGTGGATGCCATGGTTACTCAAACACTTGTTGGTGATGAAGATTGAGAGATAGAGAGATGTAAAGTGAAGATTTCGGGTTAGAAATTCTTAAACGACCACCACAACTGTCAACACTACAGTTGCTGGATAAGGCGCTAAGGCACGTAGGTGCCACACGACCACATGTTCTTGAACCAATCTACAACAAACGATATTGTTTTTTTTTTTTTGTTTCAGCTACTTGTTTTTATTGGTCGTTTTGGTCCAGCATAGCCAACTTGATTTTATTTTGTGGGAGTTACTCCCTCCACCACCACGGTTTTTAGTCTGCACCTCCCCAACGTTTTTTTTTATTTCAAAAGTAACCTTAAGTAACTTTTTTTTACTTTTATCTTATTTAATATAAAACCCTAATCCTATTTTCTCCCTTTTTTCCATTGTGGCCGCTGGCATATCCTACAAAACTTCTCTTTTCACTCTCTTCTTCTTACTCTTCTCTTTTCCTTTTATTTTTCATTTATTCTTCTCACTTTTATTTCCTACCTCCATTATTTCATTGCTTCTATTGTATTGCGTCGTTGCTTTTATTGTGTCGTTCCTTCCATTTTATTTACTGCTGATATGTTATATGTGCTGTGAAATGATATGTTGTTGTATGAAATGATGGAAAGAAACGAGAAAGTCAAAACGGATATGAAAAATATGTTTGACCTTCACGGACATTGACATCTATTAAAGACAGAACGGATCTCAAATTTCCGTTAAGATCTTTAACTATTTTTTAACCATAATAAATACATTTTTACTTAAAGACAATTGGGGAATGGGGTGGTGAAGGAAGAAGTTGGGGTGGTGTAGGGAGAAACTCTCAAATAAGAAAAGCAAGTAAGTTAGTGTACAAGAGAAAATACCAAACACCAATTCAATATCCATAAAATACTAAAACTCAAAAACATACATAGAGTTAACTCTAAACTCAATTATTCTGCTCCATGCTTTGACATTAGGCTTCATTATAGGTGTGCACTCGTAATAATATTTATGCTATGTAAAGTCAAAAACACATGGGTTATTACCCTACTTCTCATGAGGTTAATATTTTCACGTCTAAGACCAAAAGTCTAAGGCTAAGACCTTTTGTCATTATTTTTCCACTCATTCATCTCAACACGAGTTAAATGACTATTAGAATACCTCCCTTCTAAACTTCTATATGTCGAAGCATACATTAAGCAACACCATCACACAAAATGCCTCCCTGAGATTCTCTAAACAACAGTACCACACATGATCATAACAAATATACCCACTTCCATGCATACAACCATCATACTCACATGCATAATCAATGATTACATAAATAAATACCAAACAGTCAAAACAAAGAAACAAAACAAGTATACAAACTAATGCTAACAAGTGGCGTTCAACGCGCTAAACCTCTCGTATAAGGGTGGCGCTCAGCGACAGTCTTGTCCTAACATCCAGGTCAAACCTTCCAAAAAATGTAGCACTCAATGGCAGTTCTAATGCTTAGAGGCAATCCTGACGCTCAAAGGCAGTCCTGGAGTTCAGATGCAGGTGCTCAGTGTCATTCTTCTTGCAAAACGTCATCCTCAACAACACCATCCTTTCGCTCAACGTCCTAAAACTAAAATTGCTCTCAACGTGTAGTGTAAGATGGTGCTCACTAGTGCCCTGCCACCGTTCAACGCCAAAGAATTTACAAAAAAGGTCTCTTAGGGGTGAAAGTGGCAATCAATGGTTTAGAGGAAAATTGCTTCTAGACTTGCAAAATCAAGTTTGTACTCAACACCATACGAGATTTCAACACACTCAGATTTGTAATTTAAGTGAAATTAGACTTGATTAATTACTCAAATTGGTATTCATTTTCCATAGAAGTGGTTCAACACAATTTTATACATCAATCTCATACCAATTTGTACAATTGTTAAACTCTTCAATTCTCTCAATTACAACAGTCCAAACATAAACCAAAATTCAATTCAATCAACAAACCATACTAGTCAATCAGTATAAACATTAATCAGATTCAACAACATACGAATTTCAATCAAAAATATCCAACTCATGCACACTAAAGCAACTAGTTTCTCTTGCTTGAAAGATGACTAAACAGCTCGATGACCACTAAAACACTCCTACACGTACAGATAACTCAACTTTTCCCTATGAACAATGTAAACATGATCAGGACATACCATTAGGACCACTTATCAACATAGACTAACAAAATAGGCACAAACACTACATATGAGTTGAACAAAAGCCACATCTAGAAAAAAGACCAATTGACCAAGAAGGGGACAAAAAATTAACTTACCCTTTTGAAAAAACTGGTCAATTAATTTTAATGAGTTCACCACTAAGAGAAATCCTACGATTTCTAATCTTTAAAAGGATGAACGAATGATAAGATATCTTAGATAAAAACGAGGGAGAGTTCTAGAAAAAAAATTCTAAAAAGAATGCATATGTTAAATAATGAAACTTGTTTATAAAATTTATATTTATATTTTAAATTTTTAGTATTAAAACAATTGAGTCTCATTATTTTAAACACAAAATCAATTCTTAAACACAATTTTCTAGACTCTTACCATCTCAACCAAATTACAAAAATATTATAACTTAGTTTTGATTATTAAGTTTAAACTCAATTAAAATTATATATATATATATATATAT